AAACGGGTGTCGTTTTCGTAATCAGGATCCCAAATAACCCCAAATGACGAAGTTTCAGCAGATTTGGTGAAAACAGCTGTGGCGCCAAATTGGCGCCAGCGCTAAAAACGGGTGTCGTTTTCGTAATCAGGATCCCAAATAACCCCAAATGACGAAGTTTCAGCAGATTTGGTGAAAACAGCTGTGGCGCCAAATTGGCGCCAGCGCTAAAAACGGGTGTCGTTTTCGTAACCCCAAATAACCCCAAATGACGAAGTTTCAGCAGATTTGGTGAAAACAGCTGTGGCGCCAAATGGCGCCAGCGCTAAAAACGGGTGTCGTTTTCGTAATCAGGACCCCAAATAACCCCAAATGACGAAGTTTCAGCAGATTTGGTGAAAACAGCTGTGGCGCCAAATTGGCGCCAGCGCTAAAAACGGGTGTCGTTTTCGTAATCAGGACCCCAAATAACCCCAAATGACGAAGTTTCAGCAGATTTGGTGAAAACAGCCGTGGCGCCAAATTGGCATTTCTGTGGGACTGAACCCAATGCATTCCTAATGGGGTTTTAGTGCGTGACTTTTTGAGCCCTTTCTTGTGTTACTTGATGCTTGCGCGAAGAGGGTCAAAAGCAGATCCAGATTGAACAAAGCATTCATGTAGTATTATAATATTTACTGGGAGTTCGTGAAGCACGAATAGGGTGTTCACTCATTGTTTGACCAACTATCGGCGTGAAATGAGAAAATATCCACGTGGCCTGAACAAAACGATGTCCTCACTTCCCTCGTTGCGCAGAACAATGTTGGACAATGTCTTCCTCAAATGCGCCACGCATCCTACTTCCTTTTGAAGGTGTGTTCTCGTGTGCGGTATGAACTCATCTATGCTTTTCATGGTCTTCCATGGTAAGCATAAAATAGCCAGGCTATTTTGAATGCAGTAAAATTCACTGAAGAGGTCTATGGGAGTTGGTAGAACCTAGACGCTTGGCACATTCCGTTAGAAGAACCTCAATCAGCCCAGATAGCAGAACCTGTCCATTACCTTGCAGCAAGGCTCTGCGAAAATTATTTCCGACGAGCCTCAGCGCTTTCGAATACCGTACCAATTGACCTGATACCCTGGGTGACATCTATTGAGAAGGACATTCGCTTAGCAGCGCAGAATTTTGCTCCTGCCGCATGGCTTTGGTAGTTTTAGATTAGATTTTTTTTGTGGGAAAAGTGGTATGTGAAAAAAACTGTGAGACTCCTCAGCCTAGATTGCTCAAAGGCGTCAGTAGCGAAGATAGGGTGTTTACTTACCGCTAGGCTGTCCACCATCGGCTTGAGTTGGAAGAGTGTCGACAGTGAAAACTCGATTGACCTGTCGCTGGCGACCAGATAGTAAACCACGCCTTAGAAAGTTCAGGCACACCTTTCTGACTCTCTAAGGCGTCTGGAACAGATATTCGAAGAAATCTCGGCAATTTTGATCTCCGTTCTGATATTCTGGGCTTAGGAACCTTACTCATCCGACAGTAAGATCTCCCAGTCAGTATACATTCAGGTTGACGGTAACGTTGAAAGAAGCGGTAGCGTGGCTTAGAGGTGGGTAAGAGTTCCACACGTCATTCGTCATTGGAAAGGGTGAAAAGAGGAGCTGAGATCATTGTATTAGCATTACCCCGTGGAAGATGCGGTACGATAGATAAAAGATACGGCTGCTTGGTGTAAGGTGCACTCTAAAATGGAAATGGGACGATAACGATAACGGTATCATATCAAGCAGGCTGTCGTTGTTATCTTTTTCACGTACGGGCCGGCAAGAACTCAGAAAGTTGAAGAGCTCGTGTTTGGTGCCTCATGATGCCGTTGATAATCCCCATTACCCCCCCCCCCCCACGTTCCACCCGGTGTGCACACCTTAAGCCATAGAACTATAAAGAGTATGCCTCTCAATTTACGCGTCCCCTTTGGTTGAAAGAAGCCTTGTAACCGCCTTAGCCAGCTGTGTGTTGACTGATCTTTGGCGTTGACCGTGGAGCAGCTTATCTACTATTGAAATTTGAACAAATATTCAAATGATTATAACTTTCTTCAAATTGACGAATTTTCAATCTGGAAGCGGATTTGGGAGTTTTTCAGCGAGCCTTTTTAAACATGCAGAAATTACAGAAAATTTATGAGAAATAACAAATTTAGATCAATTAACGAGGAAAATTCATGATGAGCACGAGTTTTTACACTTTCCGAAGCATAACTTGCTTCATTTTCGTCAAATTCGAAAAGTTAATATGGCAGACAAAACTAGAAGATTTTCTCTATCAAACGATTATTAAAGCAGCTCTATACGTCCAGTACTTCGAAAAATGGCCACGCTGAGGATTTTGAATATGAAATAAATAATCCCAATCCCTACTATATATAAAGCGCTAAGTCTGTCTGTCTGTGTGTGTGTGTGTCACGAAATTCATAGCACGCGTCGCAGCAGTCGTCAGGAGCTGATTTTTTGATATGATATAGGGGGTGGGACGGGAACATATTTGGTGGGGGTCACAAAGTGATAACGACTGATAAGAGCAGATAAGAGGCGCTGAAACACAAATTTCACGAAATTCATAGTGCGCTTCGCAGCAGTCGTCAGGAGCTGATTTTGGGACATGATATAGGGGTGGGACGGGAACATATTTGGTGGGGGTCAAAAAGTGATAACGACTGATGAGGACTGATAGTAACGATATGCGTACGAACGTAGAGAGCACTTGAAATAGAAAATAGAGAGCAGATTGTAGATAATGCATTTCATTTCAATATCATTTCATTAGCGTTGTAATTGTAAACTCCTTTCGACCGCTACACCTTCTAGAGTTCTTGAGGATGAATGGGATGCTCGAATAAATATGATAATGAATACTAGGCATTCCGTTTTGAGATATTCGGCCGCTAAATTACCTCGACACTCGATACATAGTGGTTGTTTATATCATCACTTTAGCTGTGCACTTCACTGCGCTTATCAAACAGTGAGATACAGCCAAGATGGGCAGCCTATGCAACGGACAATAATACATTTAACGAAGCAGCTGTAATTTAGCGGTGAAACCTAAAGCTTCACTGATTGTCAGTTCTATCAATGCGCGCGGTAGCGGGCGGAGCTAAACTGGTAGTTTTATAATGGCCGGATTTCCCACTTGACGACGCTGCGCTTCGCCAACGCT